ATAGAAGGGTAGAGACGAGAAGCGGTTTTGCCGCCGCGGTCTTGTCATCCATCATAATTTTACCCCCGCTGCTAAGCAGCGATAAATTGGCGGAAAAGGTTTCTGTTGACCTCGTTTGGCAGCCGCTGTCCTTGGGTGATACACTTTCCCCGCGGTGAGGGCGACGGGTGTTCAAATAAATGGTTGAACATTTCTTTATCTTTTTTTTTTTTGCAATGCTGTAAGCGTCTGATCAATGTTATAAACATTTCAAGGTCTCGGATGAAATTCGCTTGCTTTCTATCGCGGTTTGATGCTGTGTTTTATTTTTCTATGCTTGAACTTCTTTTTTTTCTCCCTAGGTCAGGAAAACTTCGATCTCAGGCGAGTATAGCCCATGTTGAAATAGAATAAGTCCAGACAACGTCTGGACTTTTTAAATCCGACATTTTTTTTTCTGTACCCGTTCTGGTTTTTTTGGGTTCAAGAATATAATGCGCAAAGGATCCTTGTAGTTTGAAGTGATAAACATGAATCTCGAGGATGCTTTTCCTCATCCCAGAAAATATATTTCCCGAATCGCCGGAAAAAAAACTTTTCTAGCAATATTCCGAAATTTGACTGTGCGATCGTTCTTTATTTTTCATTACGAAAAAATAATATTCCACATCTGAGAAAAGTTGATCTGACCGATGAAATATCAGAGGACCTTGGATCCAAGGTCCCCTGAAGCAATTTACAGGCTCGTGACATGTCTCGATACCTCGTTTTTTGTTGTTGCATCGATGTCACAAAATCAGGAGGCTTTTATGTTGATCAAGTGGGTGCCGTTTGCCCGGGGGCATCCGGAATTCTCGGATCTAAATACTTGCATACGTTCTCACCAGTTCGCTGAGGGGCATTCTTATCTCTATATAGCTGGAGGTTAGATGGGATTTTGTTGGGTTGCCACCGATTCAGCGTCGATAGATGCTGCTTTACGGGGCTCTCACATTATTCAGACAATCCTGCAGAAGATCAATATGTCGCCGTTTTTTTTTTATCAGAGCTTCTTCGCTAATTTATGAGGGGTTTATCGAAGCAAACCATTGGCTGGTTTCTGACGATGCGGTGTTTATGTACGATACATCAATATTATAAGTTGAATATCAATGTAATATCTTCGGATAACGGATTGGGTTCAATTTTAATGGACTCTCAATACTGTCCAAATGGCTCGAAACACTGGGTTTTCTTGATAGTTTCTTCCCATTTAAGTGTAAGACGATCAGTTCTCTGCCTGTGCTGAAATTTGGCTGCTGTAAACTAACTTTTTAGCGTTGAATGAGGCACATCGCAGCACACGATATAAAGTTTGCTTTATTAATGAAGTTCCTGTTTTTCGAGCTAAATGACCTGTAAAGAGGAAGGTGCTGTGCTAAGAATATCCATTCGAATAAAAAATTGTTTTCAAGCTCACAACTAATATGAAAAAGGCTCAAAAATGTAATAGACCTCGTAAGTAAGAACAAAACATTACACACATATCTTCACCATCTTCTCGGAAATCCCAGGTCTTTAAACTCCAAAAATGGCATGGACAGCCGAAGATATTGTATACGTTAGTATCGTATCATGTGATTTTCACTTGAGGAATGTTTGGAAATATGTCTTGAGCGTCGAAGACGAATTTAAGTTTAGCTTATTTCTTTAAGGTATTGCAAATAATATAAATCAGGGTTTCCTGTTGTGATTTTCATGTTGATCATCAGGAATTCGAGCAATGTGAGAAGTTGCGTTTGAAGTCCGAACTATTGTCCCACGTGGACTAGAAATTCGAGTGTTATAAATATAGTTTTCAAAAGTTTTGCGGAACAATGAACGCCGAAGCATTGTGGCATAATATTCGAGGAAGTGACAACTAATCTATCCGTACTTATTAGATTTCCTGATGTTCATTCGTACGCATCATCGCTCTTGCATTCATTCAAGCTGCTTGCATTCGATCATTCACGCATCCTTGCTTTATTAAATACGTTAGAGACGAAATGACGCAAGTGGGAAGACGTATCATTTTCATCAGCACACACACAGGGAGAGAGAAACTTACACGGATATCAGCGAAACAGTTGTGGGGGAAATGAAGAGAAAGCCGATCACTCAACCAGGGAAGGTAATTTGTCAGCGCTAATTATTCTCTGATGCAATATTCCGAGTGGGTCCTCTCGTATTCCACTTTTGTGTCCCATCTGCGACAATGTCGTTCCTTCCCGGTGTCGAAACCCCTGACACCCCTGTGCGGTTTCTATTTGCTATACTGTGGGCGATGTCCGTGATCATTTTTCGGTAATATTGGGACACTTGAAAGGAAGTAACTTACCTGGAATCCAGTTCTGCTGTGAATTCGATCAACAATTCGTTTAAATTTGTGTTTGTAAGTGTTTTTGGACCGGAATCATTCAGCTTATAGAATTCCAGCTAATTTTTTATTTAGACTCTTTTTGGTGATGTGAGGTCATCTGAAAAATCTTTAGCTCTCTGATATCGCAAAATTTCCTAGCAATATTTTAGAGTGTAGTTTACATTTTAGATTAACCGCGATTTTCCAAATTCTTGAGGAAATCACGGTAACATAATCCCGAGCATTCAAAATTATTCTGTTTTCTGCAAAAGCTCTAAATAGTCTAAATGGTTTGATCAGGTTCCTCGATGTAGAATTCAAATTCATCTGACATGAGAAATGCGAGTGAGTTTAGGTGAGGGCCGTAGTTTGTTGAGTAATTTAAAAATGAAAAGATATTGTTTAGTTTTTTGTTTGTTATTTAACTGAAAAGCACCAATAAATTGTGATTAATCGATATATTCTTGAGTAAAGTTTGGGTTGACTGCGTTTCGCGTGAATTGACAACACAAGTCGGTGGTACATCGACCAATGATTATTTGTATACACATTGTCCAGAACTTCCAAGAACTTCGTGTTGGAGGAAAAGACGAGAAAAAAGCTGTCATCGATGGATGAAAAAAGTTGATACAAAAACCGAATGCAATAATGCTGCGGCGCATTTCCTGGAGAAAGGGACATTTCGGAAAATCAAATTTTTGGTCTTTGAAAGATTTCTCTGTACCTGCAAAAAGTTTCAACACCCCGAAGCATGTGGAAAAACTCCTCTCAGAGCCCGTTGAACTCGCAGATTTTGCATCAAAAGACGTCATTCGAATCAAGCAACGTTAATATGATGTAGAATTCAAATCTTTATGTTTACTGAATAACTAACGAGAGCGTTGAAATATCGGAAGAATCGATTCGGTTGCGCGCCACTTAATTAAACGCCGGTAAAATTTCCGTTCCGTTCTTCCGGTCCCTGAACATTTAAAGCGATTGTCTACGTCATCATGGAATCCCCAGGCGTAAAGGGTACACTTTCTACTCGAACCTCATATAAATTGTCTACGACCGTAAATTTTCGCTTAAATGAGAATAAATTTCCTCCCCTAGATTGCTCGATGTTTAAGCTCATTTTATCTCTGAAATTAAATCCGAGTTTTGTGATTTCGACGCTTTGATCCCGTCGTCTGGTGTCACCGCATTTCTTGGCGATCCAAATTCTTGAGTTGATGTAAAATCGGTGGCTGTTCGTTCCACAAAATGCGATGATGTCCTGTACTGTACCAAAAACAGCCTCTGGAACTGCCCCCCGCACGACTTCCCTCATTATGGATCGTATCCTTCATCTGGAAAGTGGCCCGGCGCAATCAGACTGAATCCCGACAAAATCCCTCTCCGTCGCCCCGGTTTTCTGCGGATGTGATTCGCTGTTGATTTGCTTCTTTCCCTTCTGCCTTCCCTTCATACTTATTGCGTTCGCAAAGCTAGGAGAAATTGCATTGCCGCACGAGGAAGCTGGCAAGTCAGTCAATTAGCGCAGCTCGCAGCAGAGAAAGTGAGCGCAAAAAAATATGGCAGTGTGTCACTGCGAATGTAAAATTTGCCAACTTCCCTCGGGGACGACGTTGTTTCTGAAATTAATGTGATCCTCGGGGATACAGAGAAAATTGCATGCACTGCGTACAAATTTGATAAGTCGGATGGAATTTTCTGCTCGTAAATGAGTGTCGACGTGGACATTTAGTTTTTATTTTTCCTGTGGGAATGAGCTGCTAATGTTGTGTATTTTTCCTGCTTCTCTATTTTTTTTCTAGCCTGTGAACTTGTGTGACATCGAAAACCTGACAGAAGTCAACGTGAGCCGAGAAGACGAAATCAGTCAAAAGGTCGAACTTTGCTTCAAAGATCCGGACCGAGATGTGAGTAATGAAATCCGAACCGAACTTTCTTCTCCTGAGTACTTCGTCTGTCTAGTAGTAAAATACGTGACCAACTTTTCCATTAGCATCTTCTATTTCACTTCGAGACATGCCATGAATACATCAGTGCCGCGTGGGTTGAAGCTGGGATTCACTGATGCTACTGTTTTTACTGTTGCTATGCCAAACAAAAATAGCAACGAATTTCCTCCGCGTTTCTTCATTCGAATGCATTTATTCCAAGATTCGAAGAAAGGTTCAGATTGAAGCTCGGGGATGGATTTTACTGCAAAAACTTCCTGTTGTCTTTCAAAAAGTGTTTTTTTTTCGTTTTCTGCTGCACATTCTTCATGTGGAAAATTTAGTTCGTGAGCTGTTTCCTAATTTTTTTGGATGGATGGAGATGGACATTTATGAACACTGTTCCAGTATTTGCTTCCATCACGTTGAAATTGTAATAAGACAGACAGTTGAAAGGTCACCACATCCCTGTGAGAGAGAGAAAAAGGTTCCTCTGCCGCAGTTATTTTTGTTCAGAATTTGCAGGCGGTCACCAGCAGTTAACAAGAATGTAAAAAGTTTTGACGGTGACCATTCCCGAGATTTGAAATTCACATTTCAACCAATGCAGTATTTTATTCTGATTTTTTCAATTTTGTGTAAGTTATACTGAATTTTAAGACTGTTATAGAATATTAACTTGAGATCTTCAATTGCTCAAGAAAAGTGATTTAATTGTATTTATTTCTTATATAACGAATGAAAAAAACGCTTCCTTCGAATATTGTTTATCCCTCATTTGGTTGAACTGTTTCAAGCGAGGTTTCTGATTTAGGAACCGAAGTACCCGAAACGTGTCATTATAGGGTATTTTAGTTAAATTTAATTATCATGTTCTGTAAAAATTTGCTCAAGATACGGGAGGAAATTTTCCAGCTTCAGATAAGTGACTCGAAATTGTTTTCGGTCTGCAAAAAAACTGGTTTTTGAGTAAATTGTCGGAGAAAATGTTAAATATTTTCTGGAACTTCTGGATCTAATCGGGTTCCCCGTGAATCATAAAAATAACTTCCTAAATGGACGGCTCTACCTTTCCTCAACAGTATAGCGCCATGAAAAAATTCCAGTGTCTATTAAATTGTAGCGGACGGTATAAAATTTCTTCTCTGAAAATTACTTTTCATATTGATCCCCGATCATGGGCGTTTCCGTAGGAAATGGTAATGGGATTCTTTCAATCCAATCTCGTGATGAAACCCGAGATCCTCGACTTGGCTATGATCGCATGTAGAGGGATAAAAAAATTAAATTTTGAAGCAATCCACTTCGATCATTTTTTTTTCTTCTTCTGACATTTTGATGAATGTCAAACAAACATAGCTTAAATATTATTCAACTCACGAACGTGTTCCTTGGCTTTTCGAATTTCTGTTCGGCTCACGAAGAGCTTATGCAGCTTTAAAGAGAGAAATGACATCTAATCTTGATGAGCAGGACGCTTTTCTTCCGTTGGTTCCGTGCAAAGGAAACGCGCGCATTGTTCCGTATTCTTGTGAAGCCTCAGGTCTTTTCTTCCGCCGGAAATTACGGGCGAATTTGATAAAAGCAGGGGTTTCTTGTGCTGGTATGAATTTTTTTGTTTTGTTTTGCAACAATATAGAGGAGAAGGAAAATGGATTAGCGTCCTGCCGTAACAAGACGACTGATCGATTGGAATCCACGCAGAATAAACGGCAATTTTTGAAATAATTCATGCGAATGCAACGAACTACGGTTCGCCACGTTTCTTGAAAGTTATTACGTTGCAGTAAATTTATCTGAACCTAGTTTTGACTTCAGGAACGATCAAAAGGTTATGTGATGTCGAGCCCACAGGAATCAGTTTCAAATTTTGCGAGAGTCCCTGCCACATTCCCGAATATTGGCATGATTTTTTATTGCTTAGATTCCTTAAGAAGGAATTGCTGTCATTCGAAAACGCAGAGGTACAAATAAACAAGAACGATTTCGATTCGCTTTTTCTGGCATGAGGGAGTTTCGGATATTTCTCTCGGAAATCGTAGGAACGCCAGCAAAAAATTGAAATAAGAGAAAATCTGATCCGTATTCGATGCATATTACTGTACAGTACTGTATATTGTCTATAACATTTTAAATTATGTGGAATAATTGTGAAGGGAAAACTTCGCTACTTGAGTACTGTATTTTGTATAAACGTATAATCATGATACAGTAAATTTTAAAAAACAAAAATGTGTTTCAAAGCTTTCAAAAGATTTTCTGCGTGCTCCTGGTTACTTCAATTCAGTGCCAGTTTTGTTGAAATGTAGCGAGGAAGGAAGTACTGGCAGAAATTCAGAACGAACGGAACTGAAAAACATGTTTTTCTTCGCCATGTTTGTTACGTATGCGAATCATAAACATTCGATTTATCTTCAATTCGAATCTTGGGAGAAAGCAGGGTTTTTTTTTTAAGAATTCGAGTCCTTATATCTGCCTGAACGATCGATTGGACAATCAAAGAATTTCGGAGCCTTATTTACCCAAAAGTCTCGCACATTTTCGAATTGTAGAAAAAAATGTCTTGGAATTTATTTTCATGGCTGTGACGGTACTTGATTAGAATTTTCTGATTTCATGATTGAAGTGCGTCATATTTTAGGAATAAATGATTCGATAAAACAAGTTACATTCGTGTTCCTCGACGATCAGAGCACCTGAACTCCTTATTGGGCTCAAAATAAAAGCAAAGCACTGCCGTAAAAAAAACCCGAATTCTAAAAAATGGAATCGCTTTTTCTGCGCCGTAAAATTTTTCCTCCGAACTGGCTTTCCCGTCAAACTGCTCAAAATCTTCCCCTGTGATAGCATTTTATTTTTCTCACTAAGTTTCTTGGATCCGAAAAAATCATTTGCGTCAAGTGCAAAGTTTGTTCTCGTCGAAAAAGCTACGTAATTCATACTAAATTGTTGAACTGTCAGGAATAAGAGTGTTCAATCCTTTTCAATTCCGATGAACATTATTTTTGTCAGCACAGTAAAAAAAAACTAAGCGAAAACTTCAAATTATGATCAGGTTTTTGAGTGCAGTTAAACAAGTGTCCCTATACTTCATCAAAAGCAAGGCTTATTTCCGCTGATTTTCAAAATAGCAGTTTGTAGGACGGTAAATTCTGTGCATGCATTATATCAATATGCATGTAATACTTTAAGAATACTTTGCAGAATTCTGCGAGGCGAAGAAGCTGTAGACCTTTGAATACCGAGAGAGTTCACAAAGGATTGGAATATTCTGGAACAATTGACGCCATATTAAGAATCTGGAGAAGATAAACTTATCTTTTTGTGAAAAAAAATTTGCTTGAAATATCGTGCTGCGTGATTTGTCCAAATTTCCCTTCTGTAGTCTGTACATAAAAGAATCTTAAAATTAATCTCCTCACGATTTCTTCAATTAAATTAAATTTGTTGGTTAATAAATATGGTTTCGCTGATCCCGGAAAAGGTATTCCCACAATCGTTTCCTCCATTTCTGATGGTCTTATTTTGGTAAGTTCTCATTTTGATCTTGATCACGTTTTCATAAAAAAAGTGTGTTTCTCTTCCTTCTAATTACGCTTTATTCGTAATTATCCTCAATGAAGTGCCTGGTCATCAGTCCTGATAATGGAGAAGCGCCTTAATTTTATTCATTCAACTCCATAGAATTCTTAGCTTTGGAATGCGGCGGTACATATTTTGGAAGATGCAGTACTCGCTCTCTCAACAGTCTCAACATAAAACTATTCTGTAAAAAAATATGTTTTGATAAAGTCTTGTAGTGGTACTTCTTATATCCGCGTGCTACCTGATTAAAATGAAAAAATAGACGACGGACAAAAGGCGTACACTGCAGAAGCACGAAGGGGAAGTTTAATGACGTTTCTGATGAAAGTGGATCAATTACCTGGTGGTAATTTTCTTCAAGGATCCATTATAATCCAGCTCGAAGATTAAAACAGAAGAGTGCTTGCGAGTTCCTCATCATCATGCTTCGTGTGCATGCGATGCTCGCGAAAAATCTTTTCCTTTCTTCTTTTTGCGCCCTGTTGGAGGGCAAAGATTACAAGGAGCACGAGAAGCCTTTTTTAGTGCTGCCTGATGATTTCCACCAGCAAATAGAGAGTGTATTAAAACCCCCTGATGAACTCATATCCCTTGTCTCCTTGGTGTTCTCATTCCAGACGCTGACCATCAGCTTCGAGGACAGAGACGCTGAGGAGTTTGTCCTGGTGCTGTGCGGATATTACAAGCTGCTGGTGAATAGGACACTGTCATTGCAGAAGCACAAGGACCCTTGGACAGAGGAAGAAGGTGCGTTACTTTGTCACCGTTCGTCCACCATTCGCATTCGGAATTCTCTTCTCACCTTCGCGCAATTTTATTAAAATCATTATTATTCTGGATGATATTGTGGTACAGATTTTTAATCGAAAAACGGTTCCCTTTTCACTCGCAGTTGCTCCACCGTACCACACGCAACACAAAGTGATCCCGGCAGCTTGGAGTTACCCAGTGTCGTCGGGATTACCAGGGAAGTTTCCTGTGTCAGGCGTGACATCTAGTGGACGGCGAGGAACATTAAACGGACTAGATTCTTCGGAAAGCGTGTCGAGTACGCTGCGGTCGAACAGCTCGTCAGCTTCGCCGTCGTCGTCAGCTAGCAAACACAGCAGCAGCAAAGATCAATCAGTAGCAGAACTGATTGAACAAAAGAACCGAGACTTCATTAGCGCTATTTCACAGCTCGTCGATTTGACTCTTCAACCGCCTTATCAAAAACCACCGCCTGGCTTTGAAGTGAGTTGACATGTGCAAGTCCCGTAATGTCTTCTGTCCTTGGATGAAAATTGCTTTGCTAATGTTTCTAGTGGAGATTCATTTTTACCCATACACCGTGTGACACGAGGTATAGCAGTCGATATTTTTTCTCTGATTACAATTTTTTACTTTCATCATCGTAAAGACGCCTTCAAACCTCAGATCATTCTCATTTGTTAGACGTAATTTCCCAGAAACTCAGTCGTATATCAGAGAGAAAAAATACAAGAACTTCCAAATTAAAATATTAAAATAATCTAAACGTTTCCTTGGTCGCAATTCGTGACGATGACGACGATAGGTACTTTGAAAGCTTAGTTGGATATTCTTTTGAAAAAGTTTACTTAGAAACATTGCAAAAAAAAACCTTCAAAGTATTCCTAAATTTCAGCGAAAGTTTGGATTCAGATTATGCTTTTGAAAATTTACCTGAGTGTGAGGTGGAATTATTGTGCGCCAATGAAATGACATTAATTTTAATGGTTCAACTTTTTGTCCACTCCATTCGCCATTTCAAGCACTATTCTAATACAGTATTTCATCAATCCATAGACGACTTCGATTGCGTGAGTCGAAATTGAAAAGAGTGCCGCTCTGTATTTTTGTGAGTACGATAATGTATTGCTTTTGCTGGACATTGATGTCGAATTCAGTCAGCGTTCGCAAACTTGACGTCAGTCGCAACAAAGCCGCCTTTCAGCGATTGCAAAAAAAGGGAACATCTTAATATGCACATTGAGCTTCTTTTTAGAACTATCTAAAATTCTGAGTACACCATTTCCGAGTATCCATTCCCGAGATGAAAAATACGAGCCTTGCGTGCATTCGAAGCAGTTCTCCTCCCACGCTGATGTTTCCCGTTGTTTTCTTCTCCTGAAATTCGTCTGATCTCTTTGTCAGATTCCCAAGGGATCCTTCTCCAAAGCTACCGGAATGGAGATCGACAAGTTGGACGTGGATGCAAACATGAACAAGACGTAAGTTCTGTGAAAACGAACCAAAAGGTTTTTCGTCGGTTTAAAATACCGTAATGTATGATATTTTATTCTGCTATTTTCTATTTGATTAAAAATAAATAAGAATGATCCGGAGGAGTTCAAGTTGGACGTACAAATACTGCCATGACGCTATTTGGGAATGTTTTCGATTTTCTAATTTGAAAAAAAATTATGAAATATGTGAACCGAATTTATAAAAAATTACAATATACAGCAGTACTGTATTTAAGTTACTCGTGAATTTTTTTTCAACTACGTGCAGAGATGAGACCCTTCATATAATGACGCGAGCGTAACTTGCGCATATTTTTGAAATCAAGAATTCGAATGAAAGGTTTCCACGATTTGTGGTTCAAGATATGTTTCCATGAAAGCTAACAGATGGTGAATATCGAGCAGGTACATGAGTGGGACTCTGAAGCGGGACACGAACCAGAACCTGACCGGGAACACGGGTTCCCTGGCAGGGACGCCCACGAATAATAAACGAGAAAACAGGAAGCTTGTGAATGGAGATTATGGATTCACGCATGCGACGAAAAATGATGCATCTTCCGTTTCGGAATTGAAAACAAAACGAGTTATGAATGGAGATCATTCACCCAAGATCATGAGCAATGGTGATGATTCTGACATGCACGAAGCTCGGAACGATGCCGTAAGTGCAGACGAACTTTTTTTTCTTTTTCTACTTATTTCTTTTACTGTTGTTGCACTAATGAGAAAAACATGTAGTGCACTCGTATGTGAAGGGGCCACTCATCAAAACTATCATTATATTTTAATGATAATCAATCAGTTATCCACGGAAGAGGTTTTTTCTTCGTCAGAATCTTTTCAACCATTTTTTTCTTACCTTGGTTCAGTTCCTGGGAAATGCTGATTTTTCCTCAAGTTTTTTTTTATTATTGATTTTCTTCTTCTATCATTCATTTGCTTTTCAGGTATGTTTGATGTTAAAATTTGCATAACGGCTCATGGCGATAAAGCGGATCCGATTCACATTTGAATACAGTTCGTTCCTCTGAGTTTTGATGAGTAAAATATTTAACTTCACGTCATAACTCGAAAAATCACTGTAATGACCATTTCGTTTATATGGAGGTTAATTTTCTGAATTATTAAAATTGTCTGGCGGAATGCTTTTTGAGATGTGTATGCCGTACTTCAAGTTTGCTTCTCGATTGCATTATTCTTTATATCTCTTGAAAAATGGTCGAGATCACGGGAACTTTATTAGATTATACTGCAAGGAAGTCAGGACTTCCCGAGGAATTTGCTGAACGTACGTCTGAGAACGTGTCTGACGCAGAATGATTTCCTAGCCGCAGTTGTTCCATGATGTGGAAGAAAAAGTTATATAAGCTGCTACTGGATATTCCGTCGCGATCTTCTTTTTTATCGACTCGGGTCACATTATTCATATATGAGGCGGAAGATTTCTTGTAGCTTTATTCAAATATGCGTGAGATTCTCGTATCAAGAGTCCGCGTAAGTGAGGGATGAAATTCCTTGTTCCAACGGACCGTGCTTTTTTGATGAGCCTCCAGCGAGAAGAAAACCCCCTTGCCCCTATGTTTCTTTGATGTTGGGATCGTTGGATCAGACCATTCCTGATCTCTACCCTGGTGGGATGCATTCAATGGAAGATTTCCTTCGAGGCGCGGATTTAGTTTTTCTGTCTTAATATTCACCTGCCTGAAATTCTTCTTCTCTTCGAAGTTCGTCGCAAATCTTTTTCTTTTTTTAATCAAGAAACCCCTGTGCATTTATTTAGTTTCTGTGGTTCTTGATTCGACAGAGTTTGCAGAATGGGTGTGAATGTGTGATTTTTCATTTGTTGACTCGGTCTCTTAGTTGACGAGTCGAAAATAATGCTGTGATCCATTCGTGACGAGACCTCGGCAATTTTTCAAAAATATTTTCTTTATTGCTAAATAAGGAGTACATTTACTGCATCTCAAAATAAGTTGTCACAGTGAAAAACTAAGCCCTGTTCACGACATGCGACAAAGATTCTCGGCATATTTTGGGGAAGCTTTTTGGAAAGACTTTTTCCGCCTTTTCGATCAATACGAGAAACTTTCGGTAATTATTTAACGATCTATCTATACTGACAAATTATGTTTTTCTGAGAATACTGCACTTTTTAAAATATATATCTCTGCCTCTTTTAAAAATGTAGTACAGTAATTGGTGTGTATTGAAAATGCCATTTTCCTCCCGTTTTCCAAGCATCAGCCAGTAAATTAGCCCATTCCTGCGAAAGACTGAAAATGTTCTTATTCACTCCAGTGTCGATAACGTGTGATCTTTTTTAGGTGAATGCCAGAATTTTTTAATTTTCTCTCATGCACATTGCCGTTCTCCATAAATAGTTGACTCAAGTTGTATGATTAGATGATCATAAATTTTCGAAGCACTGTATTTATTAAATTCTGGCTGCTATCAATAAGTAGCGCGTGAATCACCCTGCTCGTGATGCATCCAAATATTTTTCCTGCTTTCTAATAAGTTTTTGGTGGATTTTGATTTATTTCAGGTGATTAGACGAGTTGCGGAAATGAAGCATCTCGTGGAAACGGCTGAGAAGTATTTGACAGACCAAGAGGATCAAGGTGCAAATGACACCGACAGGGAAGAAAGCATGTTGTCAGACGGCAGTGGCCAGTACGGACAGTTGAAACATTCAGACTCTTTGCTCTTGTTGATCCAGGTGGGTTTCCGCTGTTTTGTTTTAATCACATACAGCGTAGTGCCTTTTCTTCGGGTCATTATTCAGAAGATTTTGTTTAAATTTGTATGAAGCAGCAAGGAAAAGAGACAGACGGGGAAGGATCTTCTCCAGAGTCTTTGCGAGCTGCGACGCAGAAAGCTAGCGTCAAGGTGGACCACTCGGGTAGTGACACTGATTCCTTGAGTACTCCAACGAACAGCCCGATGCGTAATCCGAAAAGTGAGTGAATTTCTGAGGAAAAAAAAATGTGTGCTGATTATTTTTTCAGAAGAAAGCGTATTTTACAGTCTATTGCATACTGATGGTTTCATTCATACAGTGATATTCGTTAAATATGAGGGATTTCTTCCCCTGGTTCAGTCAGTGAACTAAATGTTCTTCAATGTGTATGAATATGTTGTTCAACATAAATACTATCATTTTAAGATGTTTGGAGATCCCAGCAAACAAATGGGTTATGTTTGGGGACTGATCACAAACCAGACCTCTGAAAAATACAAAAAGCTTTCGTTTTTTTTAAAGGGTTTTTATAGTCAAACATAGGTTCATCATGATACCAGCCGTACAACGATTGCAATGACAGCTGAAGTTGTATTCTTTAATTTCTTGTTCTTAAAACATCGAGTGACATTTCAGCTTTTTGAAGTACTGTGTACGATAGAAGAAAACAATACCTTCACGAAATTTGAAAATTATGAACCATTTTTGAAAGCCTAAATTATGCACCCAGATTGGGACCTGAATGATCATCATTAAACTATTCCTGATTCTTTTTTATGTTCGCACAAATATTCTCAACCTTTTAATGTTTATTTTTATCATTGATGATAATGTTCATTCCGTTGAAAAAAAAAAATTCAGAGTCAGAGGAACATTCGCTTAAAGTTTCTAGTGAAAATGAAACAGGTTTTCATGTGTTTGATATAAGACGGAATCAATTATGCCAATGAAGTTGCAATGGTGAAGTTTTCCTCCGAGGAATAAATAATATATTGGTTTTATTGGTTTTTTCATTGCTAAAGTTCCTGAAAGACCAAAGGACCTCAAGACCCGTGGCTCCAGCTTTGGTCTGATGAGTCCTCAGGAGTACCCTAATGCAAAATCCGTCTTGAGCAAAGCGGCTTCAAGCAAATCCGTGAGCAAAGCCGACTTATATTTTGAAGTTAATTTTAAGAAAGTGCAGTACTGTATATTGACCTTCCTTTTTGTAGGACACTTTAAAACGTCTGGCTGCCAAAAATTCGATGCCGATCAATTTTTCGGAGGGCTCGTTCGTCGTTGATGCTGATCTGATTGATTTGACGATGATACCACCTCCTATTACCCCGGACGAGGTGATTTTCAATTCAAATTTGTAGAAAAAATTAATTTGGCTTCCCGCTGTTGTGAAAATGTTTAGTTCCATTTTTAGACTCATTTTGTTTAATTTCTTTTTTCACTTTTCAGTTTATGAGTATGGTATTGTAACTTTGTTTTTATTTTGGCCGTCGCATAAGTTGAGCATCCGGAAATTATGTTTTAATTATGCCTCCTAATGCATGTTTTTTTTTTCCTTTTGGGTAATATTTTCCTTGGTGGCGTGGTTCTTGCTTTCTTTGTTGCTTCTTTTCTTCAGAAGCATTTCCCTTTGCATAAAACCGCTTTACAGGAAGGGTTGAGAGTGTTTCCGGATGGGCCGAGTTTGCCTCCGACTCCATTCGCTGACCGGATGAATTTGGAAGCCGAATTGAAAGCTCTCGAGAAAAATTTCGGACCTTTGAAGGACTTGGGGATGTGGCCGAAAAATTCTTCGATTGTGGAAAAAAGCAGTGTCCTTGGTAAGCTGTCTACACGTGTATAATTAGTAAAAAATGGATTTCATGACCCATCTAAGATCCCGTAAAATTAAGACCAAGTCAATGAAAAAGCCCTGGCACCGTTTTCAGAATACCGTACGCAGAAAAATTATGCTGCTATCTTCGTTGATTCCAAAAAAGTATTGTATTCCCTCTAGCTCTGATTTTTCCTGATTCTTGCAGCATACTTCTCACCACACTGATTTAAAAAAAAACTTTCAGATTACAAAAACTGCGGCATAACGCATTCAAATTGGGATTCATAAATTTTTTTGCATATTTCATCTCGGAACGAAACCTTATTACACTTCATCGTGATCAGCCTAGTTTAAAAAAAACTAATAAGGGACTACCAAAGCTTATAGAAATCTGCGAACCAAATTAAGAAAGTTATTTAAATTTTATTTTTGTAAACTTGGGAGGAATTTATCCTTGCATCTCTCATTCCCTGAAGATTCAATATGACAAAGTGAGCTGTCATCCATACCGGTTCATCATTACCTTTTCACAATTTTACATTGCCGAATTATTTAGTTGGAAAATTTCGCAGGAACAATTTTGGTTGACTTGATATCATTCCAATGTGAAAATTGGACCCAACTTTGATTTTTTTTCCATTTCTTTCTCCCCCATTTTTTAGACACGAGCAGCGACTGGGACGATACCATGTCTGTGAGCAGCCTGAACACGTCGATCGTTGCCAGCGATTTTGTTTCCTCCCTGGTTCAGCCAGACATCCGCCTCGCTGCTCTGGCTCACTTGCACTCTGTGAAGGACGCCATAAGCGACTCTGTGGACGACATTGACTCTTTTATTGCCAACGCCACCATCCCACCGCCGCCTACGAATAACATTCCTGTGACGACGAGTCAATTATCCAAATTGTCGCCGGTGGTGGAACTGACCCCGGATGACATCAGCCAGTTCATCATCCACCGCCGTCGCAGTACATCGACACTGACGAAGAAGACAACGATGACGACAGTTTGGCAGATATCCCTCTGAGCAACAGCAGGGAACGCACTGTTTCCGAGTTGAAGGTTTGTTGTTTTATGAATACTGGATACAGTATAGAGGTGGACGTTTCCTACAATAATCTTGTCTACAACGATTTTCTGTGAATGATGAATTTTTTTGGGTCCCGGAGAATTCTCTCTCCATTTTATTTTTTACGAATAAAATTTTTTTTGGTCCCTGGAATTTCGTTGTAGAGAGAGTCCACCTGCATAAGATTGAAAACAAAACAAAATGTTACATTAATGCTCGGATAGATCGCAAATTTCTATCAACTTAAACGCATTAGCTCTCAATTGATCCAACATCCTTGTTTTGCGCTAAGTTTACAACAATTCCCAGTAAAAATCTTACGCAATAACTAAGCTTCTTTGCTGAGCACCGTAATATTCTAATACATATTATCTTTTCAACTCAATCGATAAAAACTGACTCCCGGGTTGAATGAGTACATATCGTATTTACTTGACACACCCTCGACGAGTAAAACTTGAACCTCACTGTTTGTTTTTAGCTTAAATTTAGAGAAAAATACCGCATAAGACGCATTTTCCAAAATTATTTTTTATAATTACGTGGGATAAAAATCTAAATATACGAACCCCTTTAAAAGTTGAATTTAAAGTTGATGTGTCGTTTCGTGTGAAACAAAGAATCATTTCAGAAGAGAAATGTGAACGTTTTGTGAGTGGAGAAAAAGGTTCGAGGTTTAAAAAATTCACCACACAATTTTTACTCGACTAAGACGCTCACCTCATCTTTTGTCCCTTGTTTTGTGAAAAAAAGAGTGAGAGAAAGGGGTGTACTTGAATTTTAAGAACGCAGTTTCTAAATTAGCGCAGCAAATCCTAAAACTGACGGCCAACGGGCCAAGTACGCCAGGACTAAATATAGCAAGATATTTGTAGATGACACATAACGTAGTCCACAGTCGCCTCGTGAAAAAGCTTTCGCTAAATAACAAGTTCCGTCAAGAACCTGTACATCATTATGCCAAGATGGATATCTCAAATAATAAGCCACCAGCAGTGCCGACATCGCCGTTGAAGCTGGCGAACGGAGATTCCCTCAAGCTCATGGTAACCGGTCCACGAATGCCCGGAGATGGAAAACCAGCGTCGACACCCTCGTCAGAGACAGTAAAGGTCAACGGGAACGCCGGCGGCTCTTCGTCGGAATCCATCATAGAGTCCATCGCAGAACGCAAAGAGCGCTTACGGATGGCGCTGACTGGCGAAAACTCGCCGCCGAAATTACCGCCGAAACCCGTCACGAACAGCAGCACCATCACGATCAAGTGCGGTGGGATGATGGAGCCGCCGCCGTTGCCGCCACGCACGAGTCCGTCGAAATCCAATGTCATCGGCGGGAAGCCGCCATTACCGCCGCCACCTCCTCCTCCTCCGCAGGCGTTGATGAACGGCACCACCACCAGCACCAGCCACACGATGTCTCACCCCGAGAGTCCCAAGCCTGCTTTGCCTGCTCGAGCCAAGCCCCGACCGCCACCGTTGCCCAAGAAAACGTCACCCAAGAAGCTCTCCGTCGCCCCGCCGCCGCCGCCGTTGTCGACGAGTTCCCCGTTGCTGACCTCGAAGTTGGACTCTTCGATCGAGCAGGACTCGTTGGAAACGAGTCTAGACTCTGATGACACGGACTCGGCTCTTTCATCCGCATTCTCTAGGGCTGAACTCAAGATCCGAGCATCCCTGACCGCGCTGGAAAGGCTGGTTCTGAATCACGATTCCCCGAATCGCACGGACACCCTGCGCCATGTTGCAGCCAAGGACTCACTGACTTCAGAGGCTCGTCGCTTCGTGACAGCTTCCAAGCTCTTTGTGAAATCCGCCACGGAGTCCGAAGCCCGTGTCATCGAGTGTCTCGACGAATGCGTCGCCATGTTGGCTCGGATGCAACGAGCCACGCACTCCATCATTGATGCCACGGCGTCGGACAAACAGTCGGAGGATATCTTGGTGAAGGTGAGGGACGTGGCCAGTACTTTCCTCAGGACGGTGGATGCAGCCGGAGGAGCTGTAGGCAAGAATTTGCATGACCAATCCATGAATGTTTTGATGAAGGAGGCGACCGCGTTGGCCAGCGTTCTCACGGCGCTCATGAGAACACTCAGAGTCATTCCTCCTTAGCTATAATTTATGCCAACGTTTTTCTTGTTTTTTTATTACATGAGGCGGTTTTATGGTTTAAAGACTGCGCAATTACGTTGCATTGATGATGAGTCGTGGTTCTTTTGCGTTTTTTTTTTTCGAAGTTATTGATGCACATGCAAAACAAGCACGTCAGAAAATTCTAATGAGTTACGATGTTTCCCAAATCTGTATTCAAACTTCTTACAGCTCTGCTGGTAAGTGGGGTTTCCAACTGATTTTCAGTCAGAATAGGAGAAGGGTTTCTCAGAAGTCTTGAGAGTCATCATAAAAAATTTCATTGAGGACATATGAAACCTGGTTTTTGGCTCTATTTATTAAAAAAGATGGATAAAAATGTGGACGATGTAGAGCTAAGTCATGAGTATTTTTCTTCTTGTTTTTTGCGACTCGCAGAAATTGATTTCAAAATGCATCCATGCCACTCATAGTTTTCAGGTACGCATAAAATTGGTTTAAAATGTCCCTGATTTTCTATTTTTCAGTGCTCCATTCGGTGAAAAAATGTATATTTTTATTTGAAGATCAAGTCGTCGAAAATATTTTTGACTCGCGTGATAGTTTTTTACGAGGCTTCAGAGAAATCCCTCTCACCACGTATGCAAAGCACTTCGAATTAATTCTGGATCTTGTGTTTCGTTTGTCAAAAGTTTGCAAGTTTTGGATGCTTTTCCTTCGAGTTTAAATCGCACAGGCTTTATGCGTATATTGAAGATGGAAGAACATTCCCGAATGGCAACGACTCATATATCGTACCATATTGATCTCATCTGTTCCGTCGTCATATAAATGTACACGTGATTTGTGTTCACGCGTCGGTTGAGTGGCTCAAAAAGTGTTTGCTGCTTTCTATTGATGAACCTTCGAATGAGGCTCAGCAGTCGAAATCGGACTGGAGAGATGAGTGTAGAATGGAAAGACAATTTATGAAAGAATTTTCTCAGTTTGTAAGCGGTGGGGTTTCGTATAGATGTAAGTCATATGGAAAGCAAAAGAACGTATTGAAATGCTGTGATAAGACGATAATTGGAAGAGGAAATTGTTTTCCGTTGGGTGAGAGATTGGGTTTTTTTTTTCGATGAACGAAGCGTTTCGGTGTGAACGTCGCTCATCGTTTTGTACTGCTTGTTGGGGAGCGTGGTCATTAGGCCAGAAAAATTGTTTGCATCGCTGAAATAAGCCCTATAATCCATCTCTTTCTATTCTCCCGTTTTTATTGCCCTTGTTCCGGCTGTTTGCTTTCTTCGTTTCTGGCGGAAGTGACGTGAAAATGACCTTGGACTTGCATCGGAAGCAAATACATGTGCGATGTTTGATTCAGAAAAAAGCTTCATCATTTATGAATGAAGAAGTGGTTTTTGTAATTACTGATCGTTGCGATGCGATCGGTGTTTGTTTCTTCAAGAATTTAATTCCTACGAGTCATTTTGAAGTCTGACGATAAAGAATTCTTGGTACAGTACTGTTCACTATAGTTGCTGACACTGGAACTTGATTATCAACCAAACGATAAGATTCACCAGCGGTGTTGTATTGTTAATTTTTTATGAGGTTAATCGCAAGTACTGTGGAATGCAGTTCATCTTCGCGTACAGATAATTCCCCCAAGTGTGATAGCTGGGCTGATCCAAAATTCCACGCTAGCAATACTCACTACACTGACTACAGTAATTAGCACAGTGTCGAAATAATGGGCAACTCGGAAAATTCTGAGGACACATGCGCCATGTAAAGTTCTGATTCTCTCTCTTCTTGCGCGCTGATTTAGCATAAAAATACTGTATTCATAATCAGGGATTTCAATGGAACAATCTCATCAGACGACCGCGAGGGGCAACATTTTACTTGAACGAATTTTGAAAGTGGAACATATCACTTTTGATTGGCATTTATAGATGCAAAAATGTTGGTATGCAAGTGAAAGCCTCACCACCGCCTCTTATATTGATGAGGTGCGCCTTCAATATTTCTGTCTCTTTATTCCAACAAATTTGTTCAAACCAAAGCATCAACATATTATTCGGAAATTTTGAATTAAGTTGAAACATTACATTCCTCTGCATTCAACAAAATGTGCCGACGAGACGTGACTTTTCATAAAGAATATTTTCAATTAAGAAATAATAATTTTATCGAACTCTTGATCTTTGTTTTATGAAGATGATATTTGAATGCATGAATAAGATACCACAGTGAATTACTTATTGTTGCCAGCAGCTATGGTGAGCGTTGAAAGTTAATCACGGGCTTTGTTTCACACACAAAACGTGGTAAAATTTACGAGCGGTTTCCGTCTTCCCGACGGTGTCGAGTCACTTGTCTTGCTTGAAAAATGTAAATAAATTCATCTTGAGTACAGTATTCTAAAAACATTGTTTTACAGTGTATGGAGGAATTTATTTTTCGGGAGAGTTCGTCTGTCCTTGAATAACTTCTTCGAGGCAAATCGCTCGTTCACTTTCTCATTTGAACGCGGCCCTTCTACATGTTGAAGGAGCTTTTATAATAAAGCGTACACTGTATAATGAGTGCTTGTAAGCAAGGAGTTTCTTCTTCCTAGAAAGGGTTTCATTTGCGGCAGTCTTTTCCGCGTCCATCGCCGACCCATTTGTAACCCTTGTACATTCTCCTCGGCCAGAAATTAACAGATTCATGCGAAAAGAAACATCCAACGCATTCTTCTAGTTCACGGTCTCAAGAAATATTCTTCTTGTGCAGTGAATTGCATGTGCGAGGCTTACTTCACTGGTGGCAGTGACGCAGTGCAGCAATTCATTTTTTTCTCCCCAACTCCTCGAAGGTTATGTTATACGCATTTGTTTTCCCAGTGAATCCTTTATATTCCTTGTGTGACGAAGTCGAAATATAAAAAAAAAAAAAATTTTTGCCACTGAGCAATGGGGATTTTTAAAATCCTTACTTTTTTACCAAGGCCTAATTCGGGAAAATGGCCATCTTTTTTACTAATCCTTCAGAAAATTTCCTATGAAAAATCCCTCATTGGGTGGTGTTTTTTTCCTGCATTTGTGACATAGGATTTGCATAGGAGATTCCATACGCATGGGTGGTTCAATAATGTACAGAAAAACAAGATGTGAGTTCAATTATTTTAAATGTTCAATATTTGAATATAGAGAAGGAAGCATTTTTGAGACCTTTGTTTTAAATTATGCTAATTATTTCCACGACACAAATCCGTACATTTTATCGAAATCAAACCTCGTGAGAATCAATCTTCTTTGTTCGAGTGGATTTTTTTCACTTCCCAAGGTACAACCAAAATACGCGATGTTTCTTACAATCCTGACGATTATTTTATCGGTGTTGATTTCGGCGGTTTTACTTCCGCTCTACATAATTCCATTATTTGTGAGAACGGTGATGAGATTGATCATCAAAGCAAGATTCGGTTGGTCAGCAGACCTTGTTGCTGGACATGATTCTGCTGCATTAGTGCGACCTCTGCGAAATAGTAGTGCAATCATTGGAAGCATTTTCGAAGTAGATGGCATCATGGCATTCGAACAAGTTGATGAACAAATTAGGACCATCGTCGAAATGAAAAATCAAGACGGAACATGGGTTCACAACAAACTGCGCATGACCTGCTTTCAGTTCGCCGGCTTTATGGCCATGAAGCCGTGCACAAATTTCGATCGTCGAAACCACGTCGTTAATTTCGAAGACAAATTTGGGAAAGCTAAAATTTGCCACTCGAAAGAAGAAGTTGAAGACGTTCTGGAGTACATTTGCAATGACGAAGTGCATCCGGGTTTTCCGGAAAGACCCCTTTGGAAATTTTACATATTCCACTCGGATTTTTGCAAAGATGACGGAGAAGAACGAGCGAAGATTGTTTCGTACCTCTTCCTATACAGTGATCACATCATCGCAGATGGAGGTGGTCTCATGAAAAATGTTTTTTCCAAGTTCTGCGATTTTCGCAGCGAAGATGACTTGACTGGGGCGACTTTGTTCAAGAACACGCCGCAAGTAACTGGGAGAGACAGAACCATTGCCCAGTTTCTTGGACTTTTTGTCACTCCCTTGGCAATGTGGAGGGCTTACTTTCCTGGGAAATATTGGCGTGACAAAAATCCACTGCACAATGGACGAGGGAAACAAAAAGGGAGGTCAGGAAATGTTGCAAAAAATCAATCAATTTTAAACGCATCGTAATTTTTTTTTGAAGAGTAGTATTTTACAATACAGGATGTTGTTCTGAAGGATTCTGTCTCAAGAAGACACCACCTAGAGAATGAGCGAAAGGTATAAGTTCGAGACAATTATTCGGGTTCCACGAAGTTAAATTTCGATCCACTGTCGTCTGAATTTGGATTAATCAGTAATTGGTAGTAAAACCCCTCCACAAAGTAAATCACCTTCCCCGTGTCTCATGTACTTCTCTCCTTTCTTTTGACTGTGTAAAAATGGTTGCTAATTCTGCTAATTCTGGTTTTGTTCCTGGTGCAGAAACTTCCCCTTGCAATTCCTTCAGATAACTACTGCAAATTCGTTTCACAATAACAATACCGATGATAAAAATTACACATAAAAATTTAAGGCAGATATCATATATTTATTGAAGTGAGATCGAATTTTTTTATTTGATTGTGAATGACGGATAAATAATAAAAGCAATGTGGGTAGAAGAAGGGAAGAAAGTTAAGTACAGTATGCCTTTCTTTCGTGCATTTCAAACAATCTAAATTTTAGTCAAGTTTCTATGAAAAGTCGTCTGAAAACTTTCCGAATGCTTAAATGTACTGTAGATGATTCTTATCTGCCTTGTGCCAAAGTAAGCTTCTCAATAGAGAAACGAACTTCGAGTTGAGTTTTTCAGCGAAAAATCAAAAAGGAAAGACCAAAAAAATGAATAAGTGTAGAACAGCAGAGAATATCTTTCCTACTTCCTTATTGTATACTTGTCATTTTCAGGTACGTTCTCCTATCAAAGAGCTTTCCATTGATGAAATTCGAAGAGATCAGAAAGAAACCCCGAGGAACCTTTGGCACCATCATGTTCTGCTGCGTGTTCAGAGCTTTATTCCGACTGTGTGAACAAATGGCTGATGAGAGCAAAAGACCCGTGAATTCCAACGGACCTAACTGTCAAAAGTTGCCCAAAATATCTGCAAAGGAATGGCAGTTCACGACGACTGTGGGCCACAGTATGTGGGTTCCAGACGACGAATTCGAATTCCGGAATAGAGTTTCCGCATCATTCCAGTCCTGCACTGGTGAAGATATCTGTGGGAAGAGCCCCTTGGAAACGCTGAAAATTTTGAAACCCAGAATCGAAATCCCGCTGAGGAAACATTGTGCAGCGTCACTCGGGCTGTTCATGAGCATTTGGAATAATTCATTGCCCAGGGTTTTGTACGATTTGTTTCCAACGCCGATGGACGGAGTGACTGCTGCATTGTCTATTCTCTATGGACCAGCACATCAATTGCACTTTGGTGGCAATCCCATTTCGCGCATTGCTGCATATATCAGTCTCGGCAGTGAAACAGGCGAGTCGTTTTTATTTATTTAATTTCGCAAATGCACATACTGTGTCTGGTTTTTTTCATTTTGCGCGCGCGTATTTCCCATAAACTCTGCAATTGTATGTACAGTGAGACTCCTACATGCGGACGCATTGACATGTGGATAATTTGACATGGGGACTTTTTTTAATAAAAAAAAAGCCCGACATGCGGACGCTGACTTGACAAAAGCAGACATTGTGTGATAAAAATCATAAAATAGCCAATAAGTTTCAGGAAAAGTGATTTCGCTCAGGCTGAATATTTCCAACCCTATGATCTATGCAAGAAAAATTATACGGCATTATTTCCATCATTTTCCCATCCATTCAGCTAATTAAAAAAAAATTACCTTGAGCATAGACAAGGGACTTCCTTCTCTCTTTGTGACTTGATTGCCATTTTTACAGATGCCAACATTTCAATTTACTTTACAGAGGTACAGTATTCAATGCTCCAAATGCTCTTATTGAGTAGAAAGATATTTGCTGAAACAATTTCAATTGCTGGCAAACAATTTTTTTTCACAGAATTCTGATGAATATTTCTTCCATAAAACACCAAGTAGAAATTAAATAATGGAAGCCTAATGGACAACCAGACTCAACTTAGGGACATTTTGACTTAGGAACACTCTTGATGCACCAATTATGTCCGCATATCAGGGTCTCACTGTACAATTGTCTGAGTACAAAAGAATCAAAATCAGCACTTTGATCAGTCAGTGATCCATATTGCTGGAAGTTTTTTGGCGCTTTATCAAATAAGTGGCCCCTGTTTATGCATAAAGGAGATTTTACTTGACTTTATGATACTAAAAAATTTTGAACCCCTCTTTTTGACATACACCTGTCTTTACAAATAAGTAAGTTGACCAGTCACTTAGTGAGCATATCGGAAAAAATAGCCTTCGACAAAGGTATTTTATTTGCTTACTATAACAAAAATGCAGAAAATGCTTGTGCTTAAACTCTTGCGATAATTCATAGCCCCGTGAAAGTTTTCGGAGAAAAACAGTTGGTCCAAAGTTATTTTAATAAATTTTGGAGTTTGTTGATTTTATGCAATAATATGACCATAAGTTTTACTGATCTTCTACAATTAGAGATATATGCGAAAATGTTAGTCCATTTTGGCAGTTGAAAGGTTTGATCAGTTGTCTTTCCAGTATTTCACTATTACTGAACCAGAAATTTGAATTTTCGTAATACAGTTGAACTTTGATATGTCAAACCTCCAGTCAAATATATGACCTCCCAGAGTCACATTTTTTTCAAGTCCCTGTCTGGATTCTCTTAGAAACAATGCATTAAAAACCTCCCTAATTCAAAGACTTTTTTCCCTTAAACCTCTGTATGTCAACTTTTCTGGGGCGATTTGGTTATTATCTCCTTGACATATGAGAGAGAAAATTAATAAAACAAATTATTTGATGCATCTTGAAGGGAAGTGAAATACTAATTGAGTAAATGAACCCCTGCTTCCAGCAAGTTCAGCAAGCTGTAAACTCATTAAGAAGCAAGTTTAAACCCAGAATATCCTCATTTAAAATTTTCCGCAATTTTTTTTTGCTTTTTCTTGCAAAAAAAAATTTTGATTCCTCAACTCAGAACTTTCAAAAAACGAGACCTCCCTAAGTCAAAACCTCCCTCAACTTGTTTTCCTTTAAGGTCCCTAGAAATTCAACTTAGACAGGTTTGACTTTGATTTCCCTTCATGAAAAACCGAAACATTGGAGTAATGTCTTGTTATATTATGTCAATTGTTATGTCTGATCATCATATTCATGCCTATGT